CCCCTCCTCCCCCTCCTCCTCCTCCCCCTCCTCCTCCAGTTCCAGAAATGACGCGGGAAGATGGGGTCCGGGGCTCAGCCGCAGCCCAAGAGCGGGGCGGCCTCTCTGCGCGCGACGCGCACGAGGCCGGCGGCCCCCCCCGAGGTGGCGAGCCCAAAGTCCCCGGCGACCCTCGACCGGCACCTGCCGCACCCTCCGCGCGGCTGCTGGCAACGTGCCGGTCCTATAGGAGCACCCGCGGCGGCCCAAGAGGGCCCCCCCCGCGGCCCCCAAGACGGGCGCGTCAGGCAGCCAAGCCTTGGGCGACTGTTGGGCCTGGCCTGCGCCACGCGGGGGGGGCAGCTCGAAGCGACCTCCTCTGGACCTGCACCTGCCGCAGGGGGCGACACGGGGGGAGGAGGAAGAGGAGGAGGAGGAGGAGGAGGAGGAGGAGGAGGAGGAGGAGGAGGCAGCGGCGGCGGCCGCGGCGGCGGCCGCCGTCGTCGAGGCCGCAGCGGCCGCACTGCAGCGGCACCTCCGCGCGACGGGTGCGGAGGGTGCGGAGAAGGAGGCGACGCTTCCAGCCGGCAGCGGCTCCTCGAGGCTCGGCCCCGGGGCCCGAGAGGCCGAGCTCGTACTTTCGCCTGGTCAGCATCCAGAACACTATTGCCAGACTAGTCTTGGAGTACTTTTTGAACATAACATGAAAAATCACCGCAAGACCATATCTTCAGTATTTTCCAACATTCGGAAGGGGCCCTGGGACACACGAAGAAATACACACACACAAGTAACCGGATTCCCCACATGTTCGCATATTTTCTGGGTTTCTGCCCTCCCCCCCACTCCCCACACTTCCCCATCTTTTCCGGGGCGTCGACGATTCATCATGTCTGTGTGTTCTCTCCCCCCCCCTGAGATTCACCCTGTCGAGGGACATGCCCGACTGAGCTCTGGGGCCCCCTCTCGGCCTCCGGGGCCCCCGAACACGGTCGCCGCTGGCCGTCGCACCGGCCCGCGTCGCTCGTCGTGCGCACCGCGCGTGTGCGATCCTTCGCCTCTGGCCGCTCGTGGCCGCCCGCGCTCGCCGCGCGCGCCGCGCGGCGCCGCTCCCGCACGGGGACGGCGGGGAGGCGCGCCGCCCGAGGCGCCGCGCGAGGCCTGCCCTGCGCGCGGGGCGAGCGAGGAGCCGCCCCGAGCCGGGAGGGGGCCGAGGCCTCCTCTCGGGGGCGGGCAGGCCCCCTATAGCAGCGACACGTCGACTCGCGTGACGTGGCCGTTCTCGGTGCTCGAGAGGGCGCCGCGGCCGCTCTCTCTTTTCCAGGCCTGCGCCCGCCAGGTTTGGGGCCCGAGGTCGTTGTCACGAGACCACGTTTTGCTAAGGCCGGGGGGGCGTAAGACCTGGGTACAGGGGACTCGGAAATCCCCGACGAGGTCGTCAGAAGAATGGCGAGGCCGAGCCTGCATTTTGACGAGGCCTCCCGCTGCAGACATCCCACGAAACTCCTCCTCGTCAAAATCCGAGGCGCGGTCGTCAAAAAACGATGGCGAACCCGAGTCCTGGCAAACCCGGGTCTTACGCTCCCCCTCGATCCAGACCCCCGACGTCATGATTTTTTCATGACGCGACCCCCAGAGGTCCAGACCCATTCCCCGGGGCCGGTTTTTCGTCCTGAGTCGTTTTTTGACGGTCCCGAGGCCCGGTAAGGGCCCTCAGAGGCCGAAAATAGCGAAAAACCTCCCGTCGTGATTTTTTCATGACTCGAGGAGGTCTGGGTCTTACGCTCCCCCGAGAAGGGGCGGTCTGTCCGTCCCCGACCCTCGGGGGCCGCGCGCTGCTCGAGCGCCGCGCCGGCGGCGGGCCGGTGGGCCGGCGGGTGGGCCCGTGGGGGGGCCCTCGAGGTGCCTAGCCCATGCCGCTATAGCAGTCACGAGTCCGCAGACCTCCCCAGACATCGGGCGTCTCGAAAAAATCGAGACGGAGGTTTTTCATAGTTTTTGGCCTCTCGGGGCCCTCGCCGGGCCTCAGGACCGTCAAAAAACGACTCGGGATGGAAAACCGGTCCCAGGGAAATGGTCGGGAGATCGGGGGCCCGTGTCTCGAAAAAATCGAGACGTCGGATGTCTGGGTCCTCGAGTCATGAAAAAAACACGACGGGAGGTTTTTCGCTATTTTCGGCCTCTGACCGCCCTTACCGGGCCTCCGGGACCGTCAAAAAACGACTCGGGATGAAAAACCGGCCCCGGGGAATGGGTCTGGACCTCTGGGGGTCGCGTCATGAAAAAATCATGACGTCGGGGGTCTGGGTCGAGGGGGTAGTACAGCAAGGAGGCGCGAGGAGGAAAAACACCGCCCCTGGGACGCCCACGTCGAGGCGCTAGCTCGAGCGGGGCTGGCCCTCGAAGGTGGCCCACCGGTGGACCGAAGAGAGCAGGGTGCAGGGGTACCTTTCCCAGACCCCCGGCGTTATATCGGGCGTTCCCCTACAGGGTGATTTCCGACGAAAAACGACAAAAATACACCCCAAAATACCCCAAACAGGCCCAAAAATATTAAAAAAATGCCCCAATGTGTAGGATATTCTTTATTTTTCGTCGAAAATACCCCTGTAGGGGGACAGGCCCGACTTAACCCCAGCGTCGTGATTCTTGTCGCAGCGTCGGCCTCTGAGAGCTGGACCCCTGCCCCAACCCTGACTCCGGATCCGCCCTACTTTGGGGAAATTCGTAAGCAGGGCTTGGAAGTTCCGCCCTACGTTTCAAGCCCCGCTGATGCCAATCTCCGCCCTACTCTTCTGCTGCTGTCTTCGCCCCACTTCTGCGGATTTCCGCCCTACCTTCTGCTGGGTGCAGCAATTTCCGCCCTACTTTTCCGGCCTCTTGTAGGTGGATTTCCGACGCAGTTTCAAGTTGGGAAAAAAAGCCAAAGGGCGGATCTGGAGTCAGGGCAGACCCCCTCGAGCCACGAACAAAACACAACGGGAGGCTCCTCGCTGGTTCTGGCCTCTTGTAGGTGGATTTCCGACGCAGTTTCAAGTTGGGAAAAAGCCCAAAGACCAGCTTCTCGTCCCGAGCCGTCTTTTGTGTCACGGCCCCGCGGCCCGGCACGAGGGCCCCCCGAGGCCAGAACCAGCGAGGAGCCTCCCGTTGTGCTTTTGCTCGTGGCTCG